GCCCGTCTGGCACCGTCAACCACCTCCAGTCTTGCTCCTCGACCTCCACTCATCCAAGCCCTGCTTACGCCCCCAGAGATCTCCGTTTGTTGCCGGGTTCTAAGCGGGACGACGCCCACGCTCACTCGCCAGGGACATGGACATGGACAAGCCCTTGGTGCTGGACATGCCCAGGGTCCAGTCCAGTCGACCAGTCACTGGATCGGCCAGCCATGTTGCCGAGCGAAACACCTCGTTGGCGGCGCCCATGGCATGGCCCTCGCACTGCAACCGCAACCGCAAATCTGCCCCCATCATTGGAGTCTCTCTCCAACGTATGGCCCATCGATGGTGCATCTGTCCCAATGCCAATCGACATGTCAAGGAATGTCCCGGCCCGCTGAAGACCATCCTCGTGTCTGACGGCGAAACACTGGACGACAACCCGCTTCCCCTACTGAAGAGTCTAGAGACCTAGAGAAGACGCAAGACTCGAAAGGGCGTCGAGGGTCAAGCTGGACCTGCATCTGAACCGCTGCCTTTCAATTTACGAGTCAGCACCCAGGACTCGGAGGCGCGCGAATTCTTTCTTTTTCCAAAACACGCAAGATGACTTGACAACTCTGGGATTTGTCCGCATGAGACAGGCCGCGCCACGCGTTGCGTCGGCTTGAAGGCGTTGGGGCGTCGATAGCCACCACCTTACACTCGGAGGCCGCTACAGAAGCCTCAGGTCTAACACTAGACTTGTGCCCAATATCAGATTCCTCCTGGTGTCTCTTCATCACCCCAGATTGCTATCTTCCCTCGCTATCAAGCCGTCATCCTCCCGCGTCGGGTACTTGTCGTCTGCCCTAGGACTTCGTGAGCTTTAGGCACCAAGACAGCGACGTCCCTGGATTCACATGACGGCCATCATCTCGGCGAATCCATCAGCGACATGGTTCACTTCCATTCTGGGAAATCCGACGAGACAAGCTAGACGCCCATGCCTTGGCACGAAGCAACAAACGGAAGCCTCCATTGACTGTCGTTGCAATCACGGTGAAGTGCGGCTCACCGAGCCAATCCAGACGTGGCGGCGGCGACATCAACGCAATGCTATGCCATGCGACGGCCTGCACATGACGGCTGCCCCTCGCAGGCCTTGTTTCAAGACGAGGGTTCCTGGCTCAAGTTGGGTGCGAAAGGATCGGCGCGTCCATCCCGAGGTCCCTAGTTCGCAGGCCATCGTACCTTTGCAGATACAGATACACGATAGAACGCCTACCTTCGGTCGGTGCGGATAGGTAGTCGCGACATGTTGTCTCCGGTCCTGCGGTCTGCGGTCACTCTTGCGACAAGGCCTGCCGGGTATTGGAGATTAGAGATCCCAACCCCAAGTCATGACGCCGTCCTCGGTCCTTAGTCACGTCTTATTATTACGGCAAGCAATCAATATGGACATGGCTCCCTGGGAGAAGAGACGGGGCAGCTTGAGCACCTTTTCCACAAATGCGCCGCCAGGCAGGTTGGCTGCGGTTCGACTACCACGCAGGACGTCTGGATCAAGTACAGACCACGGGCACTGTCGATTGGCCGGCTGCAGGGACGACGTCGCCTCAAGCTCCGCATCTCACCAAAATTGCATTAACAACGGACGTGGGACGCCATGTATGTTGCTGCAGACGCAGTGTGCGCGCACAGGCACAGAAGCCAGCCCAGGAGGAGACACAGGATAGTGGCCGCTACAAAAAGTAAAGTCTCCCAGGTTCTGCGCGTGCAGCGGTCGCACAGAACCGGCCCAGCCAACCCCGGCCAAGCGCCCAGCCTATTCGTCCAGATTCTCTGGGCTGCAGCAGTTCTGACCAGCAGGGCCCATGTCGCTGGCACCTCGTCCACACCTCTCTCGCTGCAGCTGCAGCTGGCGGACGAACGAGAAGGATTCTATTCGCACGGATACCAAACTCTACATCATTCTTCATCTGTGGGAAAAAGGTTGGGGACAAGCTGGGGCAATCACTTCTCAGAGAGCTTCAACTGCCAAACAAACTCTGAGACGCAGTAAGCACGCAGGCAGAGCGGTAGATGGAGAGAGAGGGAAAGATGATATGTCGAGGAGCAAACAAGTGACAACCAAGCACCAGGCATCAAACAACTCCCAATCGATCAATGTCGTCGTCACTTCCCGTCCATGCCGCAAAAATCCAAAGCACGGTGCCGCAGCCAACATTCTCCAGATTTGGGCCTAGAACCAGACCCAAACCCAGAACCTTCAGACCAGGACCCCCGACCCAGACAAACAGAATCAGAAAGACTCAGCCATACAGAGACACCAGCCAGTCACCTCAACCTGGGAGCACTAACCACGCCCTCCGTCCCCATTGGATCCGCCCGTTTTGTGCAGTCTTCCGTCCGGGCACCGCTACCGCTGTCTATCCGGGCAGCATTCGTTCGTACCGCCAGGTACTTCCCGTCTCCTCCCTCACCTAGTCCCGTCACCTTCAACAAGGGCACGCACTCGTCCATCACCTTGTCACCTTGTCGACCTTATCCGCATACACGCCCATCTCACCTCAGGTTGATGAGCGTCAATTGCTACAAGCTTGCTTGCCCGCCTGGCCATCCCATCCCATCACACCATTGTTTTGTCTGTCACGGCACCTGCCCCCACCTCTATTACCTACGCATCCGAACTTCCCCAGCCACCGTCGTCTTACTAGCAGCTTCGGACTGTCGCCCTTCTGAGGCCTAGAGGGGCAGACAGACACACCACCTACTAGCAGGCAGAGCAGAGCAGTGCCTCATCCAAACGTCTGCCTTGTTCCAACCTCAACTCCTACTGGCGCTGTTTCTCCAAGTATCTGTGTACCTGCCTACCTCTATACCTCACGGCTCACGCAACTAACCCTGCCGGCCTTAACCCTACCATACCTTACCTTGCCGACCTGACTTTCACCTTGCCTTACCTTGCCCTCTTTATCCGCAGCTACCTGGCGCTATCGACCGGCCTCTGCTTCCTCCCTCTCTCAACCTGTATCAGAGTCCAAGGCCCTTCACCACCACCCGCCAACGCCGCGGACGCCGCCTCCGCCGCTGCCCAGAACGCGGCACCACGCCCACTGCTACTACTAGGTACCTCCCCTGTGCCTCAGGGATCCACCCCACCACAAGCATCCAGATCTCCGAAGCTTCTCTGCAAGCCCTGCCGCTACCGACCTTGCCCACTCCCACGCAACCCTCAACTCGCTGCTGAGACGAACTAGGAAGCTCTGCGCTGCAGCTGCGAGAGCCGTTCCCCTTCAAAATGTCAATAAAGTACGTCCCTCCGTGTCGGGTCCTGTCCTATGCCTCTACTCCTGCCTCTGCCTCTGCCTCTGCTTCCCCTTCACCCTTCCGTCCCACGCCGCAAAAGCCCCATCACCACGCCGGCGTCCCGGTCAGAGTCCGTGGTACCCCGCCGTCAACCTCTTCTGCTCGCTCTCCCACCCCACACGGTCCCCGTCCACCATGACGGACCAGTATCTGCAAGAGCAGCATGCCCTTACCATTGCCCGCACCGTCCAGAGGGAACGAGAGCTCGCCCAGGCCCGACTGGATTCTGACCATGGCGACAGTTGGGTCATGATCACCCAGACGGGTGACATCAACCCTCTACCTCACGAGCACATCAGACACAGGTCCAATGCGAAAATCAGCCTCGACCTGTCTGTACCCAAGGCTTTGCAACAAGGCCGGACGCCATTCACGCAAAAAAGCAGTGACGGGACGGTATACATCACAACGCAACGGGTACGTAATTCGCGATGGCTCCCAAGATATGGCGCTGGCTGACGAACTCTTTCCAGGTTATCTATATTCCCGCAAGGCCAACCCCCGAGTTCAAGTCGTTTCACGCGCCTATTCTCAACTGTGTCGACACGTATGTGGGCTCGCCGTTCTTCGGCGCGTGGTACTGGTCTGCCACCGTCGTGCCGGTCCCTGGAGGTGGCGTACCTGCCGACATTCCGAGGGTCGAGCTTAAGCTGAGCTTCAAGGAGGGTGGACACAGCGAGTTCAGGCAGAGGTTCGAGGAGCTGAAGGAGCGATTGGAGCACGTCAGGCGACTACAGCAGGAGACGGGACAAACGGTCAACATCCCGGACGAGCCGCTGCCGGCGTACGAGGCGACGGAGGGCGGAGGCGCCGAAGCATCGAGCAACCTCGCCCCTCAGCAGCCGGTGAGCAGGTCAGCAAGTTCGGGCAGCCAGAACCGACGACCGGACGAGCCGCCACCAGATTACGACGAGGCGCAGGCGCAGACGCTCAGCATGCGACTCGAAGATCACATTCGCGAGGAGTCGGACAGATCATGATGAGTTGCCGGGACGGCTCATGACTAACGTTTTGCATCGATACCTTGCTGTATTCCGCTCCCTACAGAATTGTACTTTTTCCGTTTTACTTTCCTTCTCCTGACAGCATCTACACTAGCGGCGGCGGAACCTGTGTTTCTTAACGAACATCAAAGTAGAGAATGGATATGGCCAAGCAGACGGTGCATGCCCCGGGGCAACGGGCACTTCTATTGTATGTACGGTGACTTGTAAGAGATAGCTGGTCGGGGCCGCCACGACCGGCTCTAACATTGGAGCTTTTACGCAAGCATGCGCGACCACGCGATAAGATTTCCTGTCTGGGCCGCGCTGCGCAGCGTTTTTCATGTGACGGTGACAGTACATAGCTTGGAGCTTTGAACCACGAAAAAAACTGAGGCGCGAAATGCAGTGCACCCAAGGTGGTGGCAGCTGGCGAGTGATGTGGCTGGCGCTGCTGGTCTTCTGCGCTTGTGGCTGCAACTCAACTATCCGCTTAGTCATTCGTCAATGAGCCATTCCACCGTAGCCAATCAAAAACGACCAATTGGGAATAACTTACGAGCCGATTCAGACACCCAGTTTTCGTCCTCAACCAGCCGAAAGCTCCCGACCACCTTTTCCATCCACGCCATCTACGACGACATCACGTCAAGCCATTGAGTGAGCCGCACAACCTCTGCCACAATGGGTATCTGGGACACCATCACCGACCTCGCCGAGGCCGCCATGCCGTGGGCCACCGTCGAGGCCGAGGCTCCTGCCGCCGAAGAGGTGAGAGAAAAAAAAAAACAGAGACGAGCTTTCTGCGCAAATTGTTGCCGTAGTCCGGAGTAAAAGGACGGCCCTTTGCGGTTCTCGAACGGCCTCGATCACGCAGGCTGCGGCAGCTATTTTGTGCAGTTGCAGTGCTACAGGGCATCCGCTAACCATGTCCGCAGGAGGAGACCCCCGCCGAGGAGACCAAGGACGACGAGGAGGAGGAGGAAGAGGAGGAGGAGGAAGAGGAGGACGATGACGAGGTCGTCGACCCCAAGGACACCATCGAGGAAGGTCGGTTTTCCTACCCCGCCCCCCGCGGTCGAACCCGAATCTACGCATCGCGATACCAGTCGATGACGCACATGAGCAATTTTGCGTACATGCCGCAATATCGACGCGGACGTCATCGGACCACCGCGCAGACGGGCTGAAAACACCACATCGCATTGGAGGACATGAGAAATGCTGACATTTGGGCGTGTGCAGCGTGCAAGGAGTCCAAGGCTTGCGCACCGGCCAAGCACCACTACGACGAGTGCGTCGAGCGCGTCACGGCGGCCGCCGACTCCGAGGACGGTGCCCAGGAGGACTGCGTTGAGGAGTGTAAGTTGCGAGGCGGATATTCAATGAGGCCTCGGAAACATCAAGAGGCCGTCAAACAGGATCATGGCTGACATGTCTCCCAGTCTTCCACCTCGCCCACTGCGCCACCCAATGCGCCGCCCCCAAGCTCTGGGCCCAGCTCAAGTAAACGTGCCTTCGCAAGTCACGATAATCAGCGGTCGTCAGCGAAGTTTCATCTCACGGTGTCGGTTATAACGACACCAACGGGAGCGGCATCGGCATTCAGATCTTGATAGAAGGTATGGGCCGTAACGATGTGAAGACGTGGTGGCGGATGCCGCGATGAGACGAGACGACCGTTTTAGCAAAGCACAATTCTCGGTCCCGCCTCCCCCTCCCCCCGCCGGCGGGATCGACAAATCTGTATCGCAATAGGTGTGTGCGTCGAGCTTGGCCTGCGGCTCTGTTACGGGCCCGGCTGGTTTGATGCGGCGCCAGAACCCCCTTGTCTTTTGTACCATAGGCATCGCCCGCAATAGATTCCTCTTGATTTACTCGCGGCCATTTGGATGGTGAGAAGCAGCGTCGCTGAGGCCGTGGTGCTTTGTCCTGCTTGAGGCAGGGTTGCTCGGCAGATTTTGGTGAGATGAGATGGTGATCCCTCTATGATCACTCACCCAATTACAAACTGAGAGTCGACGACTTTTGAGATATTGGTCTGGCCCGAGACGTTATCCGTGATGAGATATCAGAGACGAGGCAACTTTAGATATCACGACCACAAGACCGAATCAGGAAACTCGTATGATTGTCTGGAGCGGCTGCAGAAGGTAGATCCCTTCAAAGCAACCCTAGACGAGCATCGATGGCGCGATGAAGGAGCGAAGAAATGGAGCCTGTGGTAGGGCATCTGCTGCCCTGCGGCAAAGCACCGCATCGACGGTTTCTATTGAGAAAACTCCTACACCAAATGATCTTCGCACCATGTCTTCAAAGTAGGAACATGTTCATTCCTGATATCAGCCGCTCAACTTTCTGCAACATCGTCCAAGAAAGAACAGCTCCATATCGAAAGCGCCGTAGAGTTCCCGTCGTTGCAATGGCGCACAGAGTCCAGACCAGGCACATCAAAAAAGAACTTCAGTCTTCGGCAAGCCTGCCGGTCCCTGCTGACCCTCCCCCCTCCGTCCCTCCGCCCGGAACCCTCCCCAAAAGCGATCAAATCGGCCGAGAAGCGGGCCAATCACGCAAGCCGGCCCCCCGGTCTCGTTCCCCGCAATGTCGAGCTGGTTATGCCCGTTTAGGCCCGTCGCAGGACTTCGGTTCCAGCCAACGGACGTCTTCTGCGACGGGGCCATCTGACGCCCCAATCTCCTCGTCCCTGAGTGTGCTGGTTGGTGGTGGTTGTGCTGTTCTGCAGGTGGTTTCATTACACGACATGTGAAGCGTGAGCATCTTATCTCTCTCTTCCGGCCCGCTCACACACTGCGAGGAGCTGTCTAGCAATTTGGGTTTCTGGCAGCGGTTCGAGTGTCTTTATGCACCGGTTCGTGCCAGCGATCATGGTCTATCCCCCTTTCGCATGAACATGAACCGACCCTAAAGCCGTTCCGCCTCACTTTTGGTTCTGCGGTGGTCTGTTTTACAATGAAAGCCACTTTAGCGCCGCCCCAGAACGCTCTTTTCCCTTACGAAATCGAACCGCAGTCTGATTGAGGGACACGCGAGGTGGATTCGGACCGGGCGCTAGGTCCCCTGGTGAAATTCATATTCTCAACTTGGAGCGCAACCGTCCGGGACGTGCTGCCGCTGTGGGAGAGTGGGCGAACCAAACCAACCCGTCTGTGTTTCTGTCTTTCTACTTGTCTGGACGTATGTATGTATGGATATGTATGGATACCGTACACTATGCCTCAGCCGTCTCGGTTCCAGACTCTGTCAATGTGCATATCTCTATTCTGCCCAGCGCTCCCATGGATCATCTCGGCTACATGTGCAAGACTATTCCCATACCAGTACGCTTCCCCCGAACAGTCAAGAGCACAGATGGGATGCAACACCAACAAAAGCACCATGCAACTGCAGGGCCCTTTTTTCCCCCTCCATCCCCTGCCCATCTATCTTCAGCCCTTTTTAAACACCTTTATCAACCAACCCTCCCATCCTCTCTCTCTCTCTCTCTCTCTCTCTCTCTCTCTCTCTCTTGGCCTTCCCTCCCCCTCCGGCTTGCTTCTCCCATGTTTCCCATCGCCATCTGCGCCGGGAACCCCATCTCCCGCCCCCCTCCACGACGTGCCGACCCAGAACTCTGAGACGAAAGCCAACATCGGACGCACGCAAAGCAAGGGGAGAAATCGACAAGCGCACTCAAGGACCACCCCCGCCAAGACGAGCCTAAGCTCATCTCCCGCGCCAGCGCCAATCCACCTTACCCCCCTCCCCTGTTTTAGTCGACAGCGGCCTAGGCTTAGGCCCAAATTCCGCGTCTTGAAAAATGCCCTTCTCCCTCCGTCCCAAGACCTCAAAGGTCTCACCCGCCACCGACGACAACAACATCACCGACGCCGCGACGACGACAATCACGCAGCAAGACGCCTCGACCACGACGTCCGAAGGGGAGAAGAAAGCGATGCCGAACAGCGGCCTCCGCCCCGCCGGCCCCGGCTTCGGCAAGTTGGGCGACGAGGAGTACGAGCTGCGCAATGTGGACACGCCCGGGTCCCGCGACAACGCACCCGGCGCGGAGCAGCAGCACCAGCAGCCCTACTCCGATGCTGTCGCCGGCGGCGACGACAACGGGTCCGTGATGGAGGGCACGGCGACGGAGTACCGCACGTATAAGCGCCGCTGGTTCGGGCTGGCGCAGTTGACGCTGCTGAATGTCATTGTGTCGTGGGATGTAAGTGTATTCTCATGTTGTCTCTTTACGCTCATCTGCCGTCTCAGACACGGGGATCGATACATCGTGATTCGTGCCTGCGCAAGCCACATCTACTTAAAGTTCTCACCTCACCTGTAACCGAGTAAGAGCATAAACTAACCCATCCGCAGTGGCTCACCTTCGGCCCCGTCGCCTCAACGGCCGCGACGTACTACAACGTCTCCGAGTCCGCCATCAACTGGCTCTCCACCGCCTTCATGTTCGCCTTCGTCGCCATCTTCCCGCTCACCATCAAGATCCTCCACCGCGGCCCGAAACCCTCCTTCATGACCGCCGCCGCCCTCATCCTCATCGGCAACTGGGTCCGCTTCGCCGGCTCCCACTCCAAGTCCCCGACGGGCGGCAACTTCGGCGTTGTCATGTTCGGCCAGATCCTCACCGGCCTCGCCCAGCCCTTCGTCCTCGCCGCGCCCACCCGCTACTCCGACCTCTGGTTCACCACCCGCGGCCGCGTCGCCGCCACCGCCCTCACCTCCCTCGCGAACCCGCTCGGCGCCGCCCTCGGCCAGCTCATCGTGCCCTTCTGGGTGTCCTCCCCCCAAGACATGTCCAACGGCGTGCTCTACGTCTCCATCATCTCCACCGTCGCCGCCCTCCCCTCCTTCTTCATCCCCGCGCGGCCCCCCACCCCGGTCGCCCCCTCCTCGCGCACCCTCAAGCTCGGCATCCGCGAGTCCTTCGCCATCGTCTCCCGCTCCCTCGAGCTGTGGCTCGTCCTCGTCCCGTACGCCTTCTACGTCGGCTTCTTCAACTCCGTCTCCTCGCTGCTCAACCAGATGATGCAGCCCTACGGCTTCTCCGACGAGGAGGCCGGCATCGCGGGCGCGCTGCTGATTGTGGTCGGGCTGGTCGCATCGGCAATCACGTCCCCGATCCTCGACCGCACAAAGGCCTTCCTGCTTGCCATCAAGACCGCCGTCCCAGTGATTGGGCTCGCATACCTGGTTTTCATCTGGATGCCCGAGACGCGCAACATCGCCGGGCCGTACGTCGTTCTTGCTGTGCTTGGTGCCGCGTCTTTCTCCCTCGTCCCCGTGGCCCTCGAGCTGCTCATCGAGCTGTCGCACCCGGTGTCCCCCGAGGTCACGAGCACCATCGCCTGGGCGGGCGGCCAGCTCCTCGGGGCGATCTTCATTATCATCTCTGATGCGCTGCAAGCCCCCGAGACGGCGTCTCCGCCGAGAAATATGAAGAACGCGCTCATCTTCCAGGCTGTTCTTGCTGTCCTGATTGTGCCGCTGCCCATGATGCTGGGCCTGTTTGGGCGTAGTGATAGAGTGAGCCTCCGCCGTGTGCGATCAGATCAGGCGGGCACGCGGGCGGCGTAGCAGTAGCAGTAGTAGGAGCGTGTGTGATTAGCATTATAGTAGTAGTAGTATCGATACCCCGTCATGAACATTGTACAATTCTATGCTTTCCCGTTAGCCTGCGCCATACTGCCTCCGCGAATCTCCAAGAACTCCTCCCACTGCCTCCTTAACCGCTCCATCTCCGCCCACACCTTGCACCCCAGCTCCTCAAAGTCCACAATTTGGTCCGGCGTGAGGTCCCGCGCCTGCGGATGCCGGCCCACAACCTTCCGTAGCACCCCCGTCGCCGGATCCCGCGCGAGGCTCTCCCGGTCCTCCACGGCGCCCTCCCACCCCCACCCCTCGACCTCCGTCTTCTTCACCTCCGCCCGGCCCGTTACGCTCGCCGCACTGCCCCACTTGATCTTCTTCGCGTCCAGCTCCTGTAACGTCTCGTCGTCCTGCAGCGCGAGCCACACCGGTGCCACCGCGCCGCCATACCACGTCACCGGGTGCCACGGCGAGCCCAACCACCGCGCGAGGTACAGCGCGAACTTGTATGCATAGAAGAGGATAAAAGGGAACGGCACGGGGAACAAATTTGAGGCGACGACGCCCGGGTGGGTGAGATAGAAAGACGGCCGCACGGGGAGGCGCTGCGCAGTCTCCTCCTCCTCGGGCGTGAAGTACTTTTCTGAGATTCTCCTAGTCGACGGCAGGTGGGAGGTGAGGGCCAGCACGTCCGTAAGCCGCTTCGAGCTCTCGTACGGACCCTCCGTCTCAACACCTTGGAAATCGTCTAACCTAAAGTGGCGCGCCAGCGGCTCGATGCTGCTCGTCCAGACGACGCGCCCAGGACTCTGGTCAGCAGACTCGCGGCTCAGCAGGGGCAGCAGCTCGTGGGCGAGGACGTAGTGGCCAAAGACATTGGCGCAAAACACCTCGCCGAGGACGGGG